GGGGGGTTATTGGGGTGCAGCCCAGGCGCCCGCCGCCCCGTCCCAGCCTGGCCCCAGTGCTTATCAGTTCCCTGCCCAGCACGGGCACACGGCGCCAGCACTGCGGGGACGGGGACGGGGACGGGGACACGGAGCCCAGCCAGGCTGTGGGGTTTGGCCGTGGTGCAAAGCGCCTTGTGACCGTCACGGGGGACACCACCCCAGGGCCCCCAGCGCCAGATCCCCATGGTGGGGTCCCCAGCATGGAGTCCCCAGTGCAGGATCCCCACTGTGGGGTCCCTGCCCTGGGAGGGGGGGTGTGTGTCAGCCTCAGGTTCCCAATGTGAGACCCCCATCACAGCACCCAGCTCCCTGGGGGGTGCCTGGCTCCCCCGGGGCTGCAGCGGCCCCCAGTATGGGGGGATGCCAGGACCCCGTCGCCGACACCGCTCCCCCCTGCAGCGTGCCTCCGGCGAGGGCTGCTTGCTTAAACCAAAGAGGACCAACCCGTGTGCCTACACGCCACCCTCGCTCAAAGGTACCGGCTGGCACTGTCCGAGTGGGGAAACTGAGGCACGGGGCTGTGCAGGGGGCACCTGGGCATGCTGGCCCCCCATGCCTCTCCTGGTGCCATGTGGCTCTGCGGGGAAAACCCAGTGCTCCCAGTGCCCCGGAGCGGGGTGCTGAGGCCGGTACCTCCCCAGCGGTGCAGCGCATCGTGCAGTCCCACCTGGAGAGCGGCCTGGCCGGGGGTGACAGCTCCGACGGGGAGGCTGATGACGGGGACCATGAGCTGACCCGCGCCTGCGACCCTGACAGCGCCCTGGAGCCTGGTGAGGGGGACGTCGGATGGGGAATGGGGCTGCTGGAGCCCATTTGGGGACATGGGGACAGGATTGCTGGAGCCCAGGGGACATGGGGATGGGGATGCTGGAGCCCATGGGGGGCACATGGGGACAGGATTGCTGGAGTCTGGGGGACATGAGGATGGGGCTGCCAGAGGCTGGGGGATATGGGGATGGGGATGCTGGAGCCCAGGGGACATGAGGATGGGGATGCTGGAGCCTGGGGGGGACATGGGGATGGGGATGCTGGAGCCTGGGAGGGACATGTCTGCTAGAGCCCAGGGGACATGGGGACAGGATTGCTGGAGCCTGGGGGACATGGGGACAAAGCTGCCAGAGCTGTGGGGATGTGGGGAAGTGGCTGCCAGAGTCCAGGGGTGCAGGGACGGGTGCCGCTGTCCCCCACGGCCCATGGGAACGAGGTGGGTGCTGGGAGGGGGCACAGGCTGGTTGCTGCCGGTGCTGCTTGCGCCT